CTCTGCTTGGATGGGGCGGAGTCTTGGGGTGGTGCAGACAAGCTTTAGTTAGCCCCTCCCTACGAGGGTCTGTGACCCCCCCTTTTTAAAGCCCGTACTGCACTTCGCAGCAGTCCAGGTGGCTATCAATGAATTATGTCAGTACACATATGTTTATCTCAAACAGTGCGAGGGGCTACATGTGGTTATCTAGGGAGAGTACATCATTCACTCAATTGGTTATCTTGACAAGTCACTCTGAGTCAGTAACTGAAGTTCAGATCCTTATCTATAAGGTACACATGCTTCAGGGCAGCGGGGAAAGTGTCCTTAATATCATACTGTAAGTTTCAAAGGAAGTAATTTAAACATTTTAATATCTTCTTTTTTAGGCATTTTTAAAGGAATTTTTAAACATTTCTATATATAACTACAACAGGAAGGGAGAGGGAGAGAGAGACACATCAATGATGATCTGCCTCCTGCATGCCCCCTATTGGGGATTGAACCTGTTACAGAAAACGGGAGAAGAATAAAGCAATACTTAGAGAGATGGAGTTACATTTATTACGTGCGAGTCCAGAGGAAAATGTTTCAAATTCTGGGCCCCGACATACAGGAATTTCCCCTATTTACTTGTTTTTACCTTCTTTGTCTCCCAAATATGGGTGTTTCCGGCCCCTTTTGCAAGTTCTTTTTTTTTTTTTTTTCTTTTAAATATACTTTATTTTATTTATTTATTTATTTTTTACAGAGAGGAAGAGAGAGGGATAGAGTGTTAGAAACATCGATGAGAGATTCATCAATCAACTGTCTCTTGCACGCCCTCTACTGGGGATGTACCCGCAACCAAGGTACATGCCCTTGACCGGAATTGACCAGGGACCCTTCAGTCCGCAGGCTCACACTCTATCCACTGAGCCAAACCAGTTTTGGCCCCTTTTGCAAGTTCTTAAAGAGCCCGTATGTGCTGGGGCCTTGAGACCTCAACTAGAGGCCTGGCCTGGTGCCAGCACTGATAACCTTGTCTGGGGAAAGTTTAATGGCCTCTCTGAAGTGGGAGTAGTATTAGCAAACAAGAATTTACAGAAGCCAAATAGCAGGGTTAAAATTTCAAACAGCAGTTTTTATATAAGATGGATGCTTCAAGCCCACAACCTAGGCATGTGTCCTGACCGGGAATCGAACCGTTACCTCCTTGTTCATAGGTTGATGCTCAGCTTCTGAGCCACACAGCTGGGCCATTCTTTAAAGAATGCTCTTTAGGTCAGTTTTTCTTTGAGCCTGGAGGGCATGCAGGCTTTTGCCTTTACAATCTGTGGGACTCAGTGCTAGAATTGTGGCAGTTAATTTGAATAGGACACAGGCATTGCCTTACTCATTATTCTTACCAAGTGTTATCATCTGATCCTTAGAGGGAGGGTGTAGAAGATTAAATGACTTTACTATACAAGTGTCAATTTCTGCAAGAAATATTTTTACTTTGATATTTAGGAAAAAATGGTGACAAGAATTGACATGTTTTTAAACAATCAAAGAAGTAGTTACCTTGAAAGTCTTCTGATACCTTGTGCTGAACTATTTTCAATTGCAATATAGGACATCTTAGATGTGATAATTTTTTGGTATCTTTCAGGAAATTTGGGAGGATTTTATAAGGAAAACTTTCCAAAGAGATAGGACAACCACAGCTTTAGGTGGGTGAGAGGTTGGTGAAGCCCCAGGATAAAGGACAAGGTATGAACCAGACATTGATTGTTTATATAAGGGTGGGAACATCCAGCCTGTGGCAGTTGAAGCCCATGAAATCATTTGGTCTGGCCCTGTCAAAGCATTAGTGTAACTGGACAATCAATGGATCCATGCTGCCTGTCACTAGGCATGTGTCCTGACCAGGAATCGAACAGTTTCCAATTAAGCGGAGACAGGGTTGAATCCTTTATGCGAGTTTATTCCAATATTGCTTGCAGTATGGGAGGGCAGCAAGTCATCCACAAAAACCTGCTCTGCAGCCCCCCATAAGCCAGCTGCTTATATAAGGTAGGACAAAGATTACATGGGGAAATATGAATTATAGGTATGGGAAAGTATGGGTTACAGGCATGGGGAAGTAGACTATACAGGCTATCATGTGCTCTAACCAGAGTCAAAGAGCTTTGTAATTTCTGAGGTGATGGTGATATGGAAATTTTGTACTGGAATCCAGATTCTTTGTCTGCTGGAGTCGAAGAATGAATCCACAGTCAGAAGGTGGTATAGCAAAGGTGGGCATTTATTGAACAAGTACAGACTCCCATGTGAGGAAAGGGAAAGATTCTCTCAGCACAGACTCCCACGTGGGGAGGGGGAAAGAGTTCAAGACTTCCTGTTCCCATGTTTTTTTTTAAATAAATTTTTATTGTTCATATTATTACAAGTGTTCCTCCCCAACCTCCATTGCTCTCCTCCAACAGGTTCCCACCCCACTCTCTGCCCTTTCCCCACCCCCCATTGTCCTCATCCATAGCTGCACAGTTTATGTTCATTCTCTTCCCACATCCCCCTCTCCCCTTTTCCCCAAGAATCGTCACTTCACTCCCCTTCCATACCTCTGATTCTATTATATTCAACAGTTAATATTGTTCATCAGATTTTTTTTTAATTTCCTTGGTTTTTAGATTCACTTGTTGATAGTTACGTATTTGTTATTCATAATTTTTATCTTTATTTACTTTCTCTTCTGAAAGAACTCCCTTCAGCAATTCATATAATTCTGGTTTGGTGTTGATGAACTTCTTTAGCTTTTTTTTATTAGTGAAGCTCTTTATCTGACCTTCAATTCTGAGTGATAGCTTTGCTGGATAGATTATCTTTGGCTGTAGGTTCTTACTATTCATCACCTTGAATATTTCTTGCCATTCCCGTCTAGACTGCATGGTTTCTGTTGAGAAATCAGCTGACAATCGTATAGGTGCTCCTTTAGAGGTAACTACCTGCTTTGCTCTTGCTGCTTTTAATATTCTGTCCTTGTCTTTTGCTCTTGGAATTTTAATCATAATTAATGTGTCTTGGTGTGGTCCTCTTTGGATTCCTTTTGTTTGGAGTTCTGTGCGCTTCCTGGACTTGTAAGTCTAATTCTTTCACCAGGTGGGGGAAGTTTTCTGTCACTATTTCTTTCAGTATGTTTTCAATATCTTGCTCTCTCTCATCTTCTGGGACCCCCATAATTCTGATGTTGGTTCGCTTGAAGTTGTCCCAGAGGTTTCTTACATTATCTTCAATTTTCTGGATTCTCTTGCCTTCTAGCTTCTGCAGAGGAGTGTCTTCTGGCTCTTTGTGTTTCAACTCTTTGACTTGATTCTTGCGATCTTCCATTCTGTTTTTAGGACTGTGTATAATATTTTTTATTTCAGACAATGTATTCTTTATTTCTTGTTGATCCCTTATCATTTCTTGTTGATTACTTATTAATTCTAGTTGATCCCTTTTCATATCCTCATAGGTCTTATCGACCTTTCCTAGGAAATTCTTGAAAAACCTTATAAGCGTAGATTTGAACTCTATGTCCAGTCTCTTTTTTGTTCTCCATTTCTTTCGTTTGTGATCTATTTCGTTGTCGCATTTTCGCAGCTTCCCTGATTGGGCGGAGTTTCATAGTGGAGTCTACAGGCTTGGCTTCCATCAGCCCCGCTCTATGTGGCTCTTTGGCTCAGTAATCCCCAGGGTCCTTCAGTGCTGGCTGCAAGCACCTCTGAGAGAAAGGCGCCCTCAATTTTCGCCTGCTATCAAACAGTCTAGGCTCTCCCCCAATGCGCCCGGAACTGGGGTTCAGGTCAGTTGGAAGTGGAGTTGGAGGTGGCGTTCAGAGCAGTCTGGAGCCCCTGTCTCCTTTCCGCCAGGGCAATCCCGCGGCACAGCCGGCCGTCCCTTCTCTGCGCGCAATGGGACCTCCTTTCGCCGCTCCCCCGGGGTTTCGCCTTACAGCCCAGCTCCCTATGGATGAGCCTGGGTCCCCAGAGTCTGGCCTAGAACTGAGGTTCAGAGCAGTCGGAACTGGGTCCCAGCATAGTTGGAGCTTTTATCTCCTTCCCGCTAGGGAACGCCAGCCAGGCACTCAGCCTCCTTCCTCTCTGGCTCCGTCCTCTCCGCACACACCGTGTGTCTCCGTACCTTAGGCTTTTACAGCTCCTCCGCGCTTCCTTCTGGTTTTCTCCTTGCTTCTCATTGTAGAATTTCCAGTCAGTCGACTTTCCTGTAGTTCTGGGTGATGTCCATTATATTTTAGTTGTATTTTATTGAAATTGTTGTGTGCGGCTGCGGCTAGGTGTTTGCCTGTGCAGCCATCTTGGATTCCTGTTCCCATGGTTTTTAAAGGCTGCAGTTCCTGTGTCCTGATCTCCCCTCTAATTGGTCAGTATTTCCTTTCCAATTGATTAGTATAATAACTCCTGAGGCCCTCTTCCCTCATTGTCTAGTCCTTTCATTTCTTGTCTTTCTTCCTCCTTTTTTATTTTGTAAATATAGACCTCTTGACTACTCCCAGTTACCTTATCTTACGTAGAAGTAACTGTTGCCTCATTTTACTTGTTGCTGCTTCCTTGTCTTATGGAAATGTGACTGCACTTGGCTTCCCTGTGTTCTGGAAATGTTCCTTCTCCCTGTCAGTTTTTTTTATGGACTCAGTTCTAAAAATTCCCTAAGCCTGCCTATATTCTCCTAAAATTCCCGTTTCAATGGTTTCTTTTTTATCTTTCCAAGTTGAATATTTTCAAGATAATTGTCCCATTTCTGAAAAGTGTTATGTGAAAACCACAAATGAACATTGTCTTTCCATCTTCTTTTTCAGATAGTGATGATCTTCAAATTGAAGGCTCTGAAAACTTTTTGTTCTCGATAGGAACTACAAAAATTGAAGGAAAGAAAATGTTTAAAAGGAAATTGTTTTGAAACTATGTTTACAACTAACTGATACTGTTCAGTTTTTTTAAAAATAAAACCCTTTAAGAAGATTGTATTTATGGTAAGAAAAAATTGAACTTAAAATGAGGCCAAAGACTTTTCCTGCCACGACTTACTCTGGAAACAGTCGGCAACGACTGCAGGAGATTCGTGAGGGGCTGAAGCAGCCCTCGAAGTCTTCCACTCACGGGCCACCTGTGGGACCAAATGACACTTCCCTAGACACCAATGTCCTGGGGGGCAAGGATATTGCCCGGCAGCAGCAGCCAAGAACTGCCCCAAAGTTTGGCCCGTACCAGAAGGCCCTGAGGGAGATCCGATACTCCTTGTTGCCCTTCGCCAATGAATCAGGTCCCCCGGCCTCTGCAGAAGTGAACCGACAGATGCTGCAGGAACTGGTGAACGCTGGCTGTGACCAGGTGGGTGAGCTCTCAGGGCCTGTGTGGCCATCACAGTAAGAGTTCCCCATAAAGGTGGTTTGAGTGGTTCACTATTCAGAGAAGGGTTTCCAGGTTGGACCCTTTCTCTCCAAAAGGGTAATTTTCCCTCCAAAGGAAATGCTGCTTTTTCTATTCAGGCAAAATCCAGAATTTTCTGAATTGGGCCACGTGTATCTCCTGTTTTGTCCTTGAGAAGGGCTCTCACATGGAGCTCTTTCTTTGGGGTTTAGTTGGGCTTATTCTAAACTGTCATAGGGAAGAGGAGAATGGTTTCCCTTATCTTGTTTTTGGTTTGTGCAAAAGGGGAAGCTTGATTAACACAAATTGGCAATCCTTGACTGTTTTTCGGTATTTAAAAAACAGTTGATATACCATTATAGGAGATGCAACTATATTACATCTAACTTCGCATATTAAGAAACTAGGGGCCCAGTGCACGAATTCGTGCACTGGTGGGATCCAGCCGGCCCAGCCCCAATTGGGGGCGAGGCCTATTGGAAGGAGGAGATAGTGGGAGGTTGGCAGGCCAGCCTGCCCCATTGGGGTCCAATCAGGGTTGGGCCAGCTGTGGGGAGGGGCCATAGGTGATTGGCTGATGGTCCCTGTCCCCAAATGGGGTGAGGGTTTCAAACAGGGGTCAGCTGCCAGGGTGAGGGGCTAGCCAGTCCCACCCCTGATTGGTGTGGGGGTGGCCAATCAGGGTGGAGCTGGCTAGCGGGAGAGGCAGCAGGCCAATCAGGATGGTGGGGGCCCATCGTGGGAGGAGCTGGGCAGGGGGAAGGGCTGCAGGAGGTTGGCCAGCCTCCCTCCCCCAGATCAGGCCAGTTTGCTGGCTGCAGTGGGCATCATAGTGACCAGTTCTGGTTGTTACGGCATTCTGGTCGCTGGCTTTTTATATATATAGATGAGAAAGATTAGAGAAATCTTTGAAATGGTGGCAACATAGGCTGCTTTCTCAGTTGCTTAAGAATAGGGAAACATTAGTGGAAGTGGTACTGATCATGCATAAATACACAATTTATAGCTATACCTTTATGGTCCTATTAGCAGTTCACAGAGCTAAATAAAACCCAGTTTGAGGGGCAGGGCCATATAACATGGAACTAGTGCTCACATCAGCAGCACGTATAACTAAAATTGGATCAAAACAGAGCAGATTAGCATGGCCCCTGCACAGGGATGACATGCAAATTTATGAAGTGTTCCATTTTTTTCCATTTTCTTTTTCTTTTAAATATATTTTTATTGATTTTAGAGAGGAAGGAAGAGGGAGTAAGATAAGAAACATCATTGATGAGAGAGAATCATTGATTGGCTGCTTCCTGCATGCCTCCTGCTGGGGAGAGAGCCTGCAACTCGGGCATGTGCCCTGGCCAGGAATCAAATAGAGACCTGGTTCACAGGTCAATGCTTAACAACTGAGCCATGCCGGTGGACAGAAGTATTCTATATTTTTATTGGTGATTACAAAGTAGTCAAAGGTTTGTAAAGTATAGCATAGGGAATAGGTACCAGGTGGGTACTAGAAATATTGTTGAGGATGGATGAATACTTTCTAAAGTACTATATGATTGTCTAACCATTATACTGTGCAACTGAAACTAATACAAAATAATATTGAAAGTAAGCTGTAATTGAAAAATAAAAATAAAAGACATACACAAATAAAATGGAACTACTGTTGAGCCAAGGTAAAAATGTAATTAGTAAAATGTAACTAGAAAAATGTAGTTCCTTTATAAAATGACTATTGAAAGCAAGTCCTTAATTACCATCTGTCATCTGAAAAGTCACAGTTGCACGAAAATGGAAATAACTTTGATATTTTTGCTGCCTTGGAAAATTATGATTTCATGGTCTAAGCACATCAGGATGGTTTCAGCACTTTTGGTTTCTTAGAAATATTCTAAGTATGTACTCTTGGCATCACAGTCACAGGAAAAGGTTAACAGTGCCCTCTGTTATGTCCCAAAGAAATCTCAATCCTCCTATTGTAGTTTATTACTATAGAACTTACCTAGAGAATTAAAATTTCCCATGAAATGAACCACATATTTTGTAGGGCCTTCCTTGATACTTTAGGATATACTGTGACTAACTTGTGTATAGAGAGCATTATATTGAAAGTTGCTTTTATAAAGCACAGGGTCATGAATGATGTAGTGTGGAGTATTCCAGCAGTGGAAGTTGGCAGCAAAGGCATGCCCTTTCTCATTCTGAATATATGAAATTAGATATGCTGTCAGGTACTGCCCCTGTTTGAATGAATTGCTGAGTCTTGCAACCCAACAGTAAAGCTAAAACTTCTCCTGCAAATTACTTGCAAACAAAAGAGGTACTCAGAGCTGGGTATTCTTTGCAGCTGTGTTCAGCTCTGATAAAAAGAAACAACGGCCGGGACCGGTTTGGCGGACTGAAAGGTCCCGGGTTTGATTCCGGGCAGGGGCATGTACCTTGGTTGCGGGCACATCCCCGGTGGAGGGTGTGCAAGAGGCAGCTGATCGATGATTCTCTCTCATCGATGTTTCTGACTCTCTATCCCTCTCTCTTCCTCTCTGTAAGAAATCAATAAAATATATTTTTTAAAAAAGAAAAAAGAAACAACTCAAACAAATAATCCAAAATACAGGTGGGATCCCTTTGTGGTAAAATCCATTAGTGATGATTACAGTGCAAGAAATAATAAAGCTGGTGCTGTTTCCAATACAGTAAAATACAAATACAGTTAAATTGAGGATCACACCAGTAAAGTTCCCATAAACATTTATGTTAATTGCTAGTAAAAAAGACTCCCTTTACCATATTTTAATACTCTTGAAATAATTCAATCAGTTGGGCCCTAGCCAGTTTCTCTCAGTGGATAGAGCGTTAGCCTGTGGACTGAAAGGTCCCAGGTTCGATTCTGGTCAAGGGCACATGCCCTTGTTGTGGGCTTGACCCAATAGGGGGCTGTGCAGGAGGCAGCTGATCAATGGTTCTTTCTCATCATTAATGTTTCTATCTCTCTTTTTCTCTCCCTTCCTCTCTGAAATCAATAAAAAATATTTAAAAAATAATCAGTTGGCTGTATAGTGTTACTTTATAAAACTTAAAATAGAGGTGCCTTCACAGTTATCCTCCAACTCAGACTCTTTTGGTCCAATAGAGGTTGCATTTGCTTTCAGAGAATTCTAGTCGGAAAGTCACTCACTCTGTGAACTTAGATAATATGAGAGGAAAAGATCAGCAGCACCTCTAAAGCTGTATATATATATCTTGAATAAAGCAGATTGTTCCAATTCCAATATAATAGGTACAGGGAATTCCTATTATTGGAACTTTTCCTTTCTGTCTTCCATTTAGCGCCTTTTAGTTGAGGTGGTTTTGCTCTCTTGTATTTTGAACCTAAGTACCATTTTAAACCTTATATAACAACTAGAGGCCCGATGCACGAAATTTGTACAAGAGTAGGCCTTCCTTCCCCCAAATGCCAGCACCGTCTTCCCTCTGGCACCTGGGACCCAGGCTTTCCTGCAGCTGCCAGCAGGCACCCAGGTGGGCTTCCCTCACAGCCCTGGCTTCTTCCAGAAGGTTGTCCAGAAGGACATCCAGTCTAATTAGCATGTTATACTTTGATTATAGATGGACTCCATGTTTTCCTTATTATAGATGTTTAGTGGTGATACACACTTTCATATGCTGTATTCTGTCTGTTGCACATACATACATACAAATATACTTTTCCATTTTATTTGGACTAAGACTTATTAAATACATTTGAGTGTTTATAGATAAGTATTTTTTTTTTAAATTGTTACAGTGAAATCTATCTAAGAAAAATATATGATTCCTAAGAAATAGCTCAGGGACTTTTACCCAGCAAATCACACCTATGTACTAGCAGGTATGGATATATTTTTAAATAGCAATTTCTGGAAAAATAGAGGACTTGAAGTATTTTCTGTGTAATGGCATAATGTAGAAGTCAAATGTTACAATGTTCATAAACGTTTTGTACATAAATTAATAAAGACATGAAAATTTTTATGGGGGAAAGAAACAAGGCAAATAGACTAATATTCCTTAAGGAAGGAACTGCTATTTATTTTATTATTTATTTATTTAAAATATATTTTATTGATTTTTTATAGAGAGGAAGAGAGAGGGATAGAGAGCCAGAAACATTGATGAGAGAGAATTATCACTCAGCCGCCTCCCGCACACCCCCCACTGGTGATGTGTCCACAACCAAGGCATATGCCCCTGACTGGAACCGAACCCGGGACCTTTTAGTTCACAGGCCGATGCTCTATCCACTGAGCCAAACCAGTTTCAGCAGGAACTGCTATTTAATATAGATGTAAGGAAGTGGAAAGATAAGTATTTAGAGTGTCATTGGAGACTTTAATTACTGGAATAAATAATAATTTCTATTTAGCTTTTACTTTTTTTATTTACTAGGGGCCCAGTGCACGAATTCATGCATCATGAAAGGAATTGTGGGCCGCGGAGGCTGCGGTAGGCACAGGGGCAGGTCTCAGCCCATCCTCTGTGCTTCCGCTTGGCCCCTCCCACTGCAGCTCCCAGTCCTCTGTCTGCCGGCAGCCCTGTTCCTGCCGCCACCACGTGCTGACAGCACTGGCCCCTCTTGCACCCCTGATGGCTATTGGAGCGATTGGGGCCGGCTCTAGCACTGGGTGTGAATAGAGCTGGCACCAGCAGCGGTTGTGAGCAGGGCCAGTGCTGGCAGCAGGTGCGAGTGCCAGGCAAGACCTTGGCATGCAGGAGCAAAGAATTTTCAGTAACTACCAGAGGTTTGCCCTGATGACAGCAACCAGTGCGCCTTGGTCTGGTACCACTTCCCCCTCCCCCCCACTCACCTGCTTCACCATCCCACCATGGCCAATGCCTAACATGTTTCGCACATGCCTCCTGGGGGTCAGCGCACATCATAGCAACTGGTTATTTAGTTGTTCTGCCATTCGGTCTATTTGCATATT